AAAAAGATGTTTACCATATATATCATTTTAATTTTACATATAGTATTATATTCTTCGTTATACTATATGTTATTTTAATTATGTTGCTATGTGTTTTGTTATGTTAATTATCATTCATTGTTTTTCATCGTAATATTAATTCCCGAAATCTTTTTTTTTTTGCATCCATTGCTCCTCACTTCTTCATACCAAAATGGAAAATTTGCGTCTATGGGCCTTTCGGTACGCTGTTTAGTTATGGATTGCTGATGGCAATAAAGATAAATTTAATGGAAGATCAGGGTAGGTATAAGTCAAAAGTCTGAAGGGTACTGGAAATTCCAGGATGGAATATGAAATTTTCGTACAGTAAAGTAATAAAGTAAAATAATTTTTTTATTTCTTTATTAAGTATTACAACAATCTGTCTCTTGGACATTGGTTATAGTGAGGTAGGATGACATAAAGTAAAATAATAAAAAATAATAAAATAATAAAAGTGTGACTGTATGTGTAAAAATTGTAGAAAGTTATTAAAAATAAATAAAAGTCAATTTATAATACTTTTATTTTGTTTTAAAAATATCCCTTTATTAGCATATTATTTAATTTAATTTATTATTATTATTATTTTTTATAACATTTGCGAATGTTTATATGTATACTTATGTATTCAAATCTGTTCTGATTAGATCAATACAATTAATCTTCACATATTCATAATCATAATTTTATTTTTAATAAAATTTAACGTTTATATATAAATTATTTCGAATAACAGATACCAACATTTGGGCTTTTTTTAAGAGATTTATTTAATAAACCCCTTACTATCCACAACTTTATTTTAATTTTTACATACTTTTTTGTTTTATTTTGAAAAATAACTAAAGTAACAAATAGATTAATATTAATTTTATAAATAAGAGTATTAATTCATAAGGATGTGTGAAAATATTTCCATTCATTTCGGTAAATTTAATAATACTCAGTTTAATAAACGTGAATTCGGCCATATTCACTTTTACAACTGTAAATATGGCCGTGTTCACTTTTAAAGTGAATACTTATTATCTGTGTTCATATTTATTTTAATGAATTTAAATATATATTCATAATTGTGGGTTGATGGTTGACTGTAGTGAAGAGTATGATGGTTGGAGTGATCAGTCAAAATAAGAATAGCGAGAATAAATAATAATATTTTTTTTTATTATATATAAAAATATAATTATTTATTTTTGCTATTTGTTTTTTGACTGATCACCCTAACCATCCTTCTCTTTAATAAATATATCCATATTTATATTTTTGAATATCAATGTTCCCATCTCTGGCTGATATCACCGATGGCTGTTGGGCCAAATCCAGCCCAAAAAGTTCAACCTTGACACAATCTTCCCGTCTTCGCTTCGGTCTACCTCTCAGACACTTGCCGGTCGGCACAGCCCATTTTTTATTGATATTTTTGACACAAATATTTCAGGATTCTTTCGTTACCAAGCCTGAATATCATACACGCCAATTTTATTTGCTGTGATGTAATCATCCAAATTGTATTAACTGGGTGTAATTCACGTAATTCTGTATTGTGTATTTTATAATATTTTGTATAGTACACTTTTTTTTTTTAATATTTTACAATACAAAAATTATACATAATTACTTAATAATAGTGTATAAGGACTCCACCTAGACAAACGCCTAATTTGGAATCCTCAATCTAGACAAACGCTCTAAGGTTACAATTAATTACAAAATAAATCATATACCTTATTATAATAAGGCATATTTGTGTTTGAGGCTCCACTTAAACACCGAATTTCCCTCTTAGCAAATGTGTATTTATGATTTTTTTTTAGTTACTAATTAAATAGACAAAGTTTGTCAATTGAAACCGCCAGATTGAAATATTTTTGTAAAATTTTTGCGCCGCACTTCCAAGAATTTTCGTAAATAAAAATGTTGTATATTACAATGAGCTGAAGTTATTTACGAAGTTTTAGGCGGATGCCAATAATTTAATAAAAGTGTCTGTGCCACAGACTATTTATTATATTATATTAATTCTTAATATATTATATCTTAATTTAATTAAATTATATTAAGTATATTAACTCATCACTGGACAGTGATTGGCATAAATACCAAAGTACGATAAGAACGAGTCCGCATTGAAGAGATAGCGTTGGCAGGAACTACCTCTATGGAAGTGCTCGATCGTCACTGAACGGCGATTCGTCACAACCACTCGAGATAACACTGGAGAGGTACTTGAAGGCTCATTCCAGATTGCTCGTAAACAACAGCTATCAATTTCAAGAGGCCTCCTTCGCATTATTCTCATCGTTATAGAGCTATGAAATCATCAACGCCCGATGATAAGAAGGATGTAGATAGAAAAAGGCAAGAAGTGAATGTGAAGATAACATCATTCTTTATTGGCAATCGCAAATTATTATTCTTTTCCTTTCATTCGATCTGTTCTTCGATATCTGTATTATTGTGGCTGCTATAGATAGACCTCTTGTATAGGTTAGGTGTTGAATTTGTAGAATTGTTATCTCTGTTTCGAAACAGCTTCAATTTGACTTATATTTTTCCGGCTCTCGTGAGCGATGGATGTTTATGAATGAGTAGAAAAAAAATTTCGATTCTTAAATTCCTTCAAAAACATTAATAAAATTCTCTGAAAAAATTAGCGGGTATCAAAATTAACGAATGGAGACGAGATGAATCGTATGTAAAGATTGTACACATGTATTGTCATCATTAAGACACGGTTTAAGTTCTCATGGAACTATGCTGGAAGCGAGGTGGGGGATGTCCGGGCGGACTGACGCGTATGCGAAGCACCTGATAAACCGAAGTTAAGATGATAACATTAGTACGAGTTCGCGTTCTGCTGCCAGTGGCTTTTAATTCTGTCATTGATCCCCGCCCTCTCTTCTGGCCCGGAAAACTCTAATTTAGCCTTAAAGGCAAGCAAGCAGTGAACAAAAAAAAAAAAAATACATATAGATAAAATAAGAAAGAAACTATCCTGGGTTTTGATGCCCTAAAACATTCTCGAGATCAATCATAATGCATGGTTTCAATCATAGGCACCTTCCGATTCTGATGGGAGGATGATTAAAAAAAAAAAACGAACAAATATAATATTGAATATTTAATGGTAGTTTGTTGATATGTCTGTATTGTTGTGAGGATTTAATTTATTTTTTATTTGTTACACATATGTATATTTGAAGAAAATATATATATAAAAAAATACTATGGAACATATAACGGAAAAGAGACAACCTTCGTAACATTTCTAGAACTCTTCGAGCTAAAAATGAATAATAATCATGTTAAAAATATATTTGATTTCTCATTGTGTATACCCTTAAATAAAAATATAACGTTTTTCACAGACCGATTAGTTTTTCGCAATTGAGTAGTTTAAGAATATCACGTGAAAATCGAGGAGTATTTTAATCATAAAATCCCAAGATATGTTGATGTACCTATTTCTGCCATAAATATAATGACGGGCTAATTACTTCCCTAAACAAAATTAGAGTGGATAGATAAAAAGTGTTCTTTGGCCGTTACACCGATGGTCTTCATCGAAAGATTTTGTTTAGTGATGAAAAAATGTTTACAATTGAAGAAAAAATTAATCGCCAAAATGATCGTGTCTAAGCCCACAGCTCTAAAGAAGCCCTAAAGGAAGTCATTGGAAGAGTGAAAATAGGTCATCACCCTTCCTCATTGATGGTTTGGTGAGGAGTTGATGGCAACACAAAACTCCATTTTTGTGAAAAAAGAGTTAAAACAGCCTATCAGGACGATATTTTGGAACGTATTGTCAAGCCTTAAGTGATAAAAGAACATTCCAGAGTTCATCTCAGAGGCCCTCAGGAAGCCCTTATCTCAACCCACTAGATTATCTGCTTTGGTCCGGACTGGAGAGGATGGCATGCCACAGAGCACATCTTAACTTGGAAAGCCTCAGACAATCTCTGGTCCGAGCAGTTGAGCGCTTTCCTCAAGAAGTGCTGCGTGCTGCTATTGATGACTGACCACGGAGATTAAATGCCTGTCTCAAGGCAAACGGGGGATATTTTGAGTAATTTCTTTTTTGTTTTACTCTCTTTAGATATAAAATTTATTTTCTATTCAAGTTTTTGAAAAAATTAATTTATCTGTTGAAATCTGTATATAATTCTTTGTAACAATATTTATGACAGGACTAGGTAGTAGCTAATCACTTATTAAGAAATTTTTTCTTAAGCTAACGTAGTAAAGTTTAAAATTTCACCAATTATGTGTGTTGAATAGACTACCTTGGGAATATTATAGTGTATATATTTATAAACTGCGTCAACTATGATTTGGCGGGGTTGGGTTTAGACAGAGCCCGGTGGATGGAAGTATGTGGACATCGATTGTATCGGCATCGAACCTTCGTGTTCGCTAAGCCTTATTATTATTATATATTTATAAACATGTTTCGCTGATGTGACTTATACGCTGAATAGATGCCATTGGAAATCTACTTAATGTGAGCCTGCGGTGTGTTATTTGCAATAAAAGATAATTAATTGCTTATTGCTTCCTCACTACCGAATGTGGGAAAGCTTTGCATTCGTGTGGGAGGTTAAAAAAAAATTATGCGCTCAGAATCGAAAAATTCCACTCGCGTTTTATGTTTCAGACGTCAAGGATCAAATTTGGTTCGGTGTCTGTCTGTAGTTAAATCGATGTAATGGCCATATCACCTACTACCGTTTATCCGATTTTCATTATATTTTCAGAGAATGTGGCCATTGTTGTCTAGATGGTACCATATAAGGCATTCATTTCCTGTATTTTATTAACTTCATTCATATTATTATATTTCTTCTTGAATTAATTTTTTTCTAACTGATGGAAAATGTCGGTGTATTTAGTGTGGAAGCTATACTGACCTTACTTGGTAGACTTTTTTTTTTTACTTAAAAATAAATAAATAAGTGATATTGCTTGCTATTAGTCTAGTAATTATCGAGCGGTGGAAGTAACGTGGCCGGCTGGGATTGAACGATAAGGCAGATTGGATTATGCAGTGGGCTGCTCAGCAAATCGCCCTCTGACTCACCGACAGCTATTAAATGAGAACTGACGTAGCAGGTCTCTGATCTCTCTGCTGTCTGGGGAAACTACATTATGTACGTCTTTATCGATCCTACGATATTATAGAAATATCGATATTTTTCTTCCGATATTCGATATTTTGTCATCGTTGGTATCTTCTTCAAATAATCGAATGTCAATATAACTCCTCCGATCTTTTAATGTTTCAATACAAAAATTAAAATTAAAACTTTTTCGGAGAGCGCTAGGAATTATATATGAATCAGATCGTTAGGAAAAAAGAAAAAATTCTCATCTACCTTGTTTCATGTAGGATGTAGAGAAAAATATCGATATTTCGGTAACATCCCGTGGCAAAAAAAAGGTTCATACTAAGATTTGTCCTTATAAATTGATCATATTCACAGTCCCGATGAGAAAAAAATGCACGTCTGCCAGCATATAGCCGCTGGAATACAAAATGGCGGTCATGTGTAGGTTGAAGGGGTAGGGTAGTTTGTAAGCGTATTCGTAGAGAGGGCGTTAGGTATATAAAGCTAACAACTAATTTTCATCTGGGATTTGATAGGTTTCTCCTATCTAAAAAATTACAGTAATATGTCTGTAGTAATAAGGTTACAAGTAACTGCAAGACTCTTGTACAAGGCCAAGACCATGACCAAGACTGAGTTTGCAAGATCAAGACTCGTCTCGATCTCGCATTAGAGCAACACTAGTTCCTGGTGTTGGCAATGTGAAATTCCGGCTTGGTAGGTATAATTTAAAACAAATATCGTCCAGTAAAAATAGGGATTGACCCTTATAGTTTTTGAGATATTCTCAAAAAACTAAAAAAAAGATATCAGTTCTCTGTCCTTTTCTCTCTTCCCCATCAAAGCCAACGCGGGAGTCTTTGGGACTTTTTACCTGATACTATAGAGGATTAATGAACAATTTCTAACAAGTTTGATCTTTATTTTTTGAATATTGGAGTAAGGTTCTTTTCCCCTATAACTCTACCAGTGTCAGTATATTTTCCTTGCAATTTGTATCGGATGCATAATTATTTATGATTTTTCGTTTGAAACTAATATGTCGATGAGAAATAGTTTTTGAAGTATAGTATTTTCATGGAAAAATGTACGTTTAAGCGAAAAGTGGAAGGAATTCGCGAGCTCGAAATCTATCCGCTAACTTCAGACAGAAAAGGACATGAAATAATAGCCAGTTACTCCAGTCCCTTGGATTTTAAGTCCAAAAACTGATTTTACAATTCAAAAGTTTTTTGTTTTTCGCTTGTACCAGTGAAACTATGCGTTCTATCTAAAATAATCTGGTATGTGAAATTAAAGCTGACAAAATTTGCAATAAAAATGATTATATTAGTTTATTTGCTATTACCTTTAGTTTCTTTGATGTCCGTGCTCGTATTTCACAAATTTCGAGAAAAATAAATTTACATCGCATTTTTATCATTATTTGACTCGCCAACTCTTTATCTTTCCATTTTACGAAAAAGTCATAAGGAAGAAAGTTGTTTAATATTAAATTTTCTTTAAGAATATATATAACTTTACTATCTTAGCTTCAACCATTCAAATGCTATATCAATTATAATTTGATGATTAAACTCCGAAACTATACATAAAAACATACTTTTCGCAATTTTCGATATTACAGAGCTCTTAATCTGTATATAAGACAACATACGTTTGTACAACAGGTTACGTATGGCATACAGCATTAAACTTTTTCAACAGATTTTGAAGTGGGTCACGGAATGTGAATAGTAGACGCCTTGTATAACCGAATCTTGGTTATAGCTCTTGTGGTAGTTTTTTTTTCCCGTTCTGAATCGCCCTTCGTGAAGGATGGTCAAAAAACTTTAACGCCTTTCCACTCGAGATGTGAAGGAATGAATAGTCAAGAATGCGTGAGTGGTTGAATAATGATGTTGAAAACGGTCTGTTATCATTTAATATTAATAATAATAAAGCAAGTTTAAGAAATTACTGGTCATAACTCATTTAACAAAATTAAATAAAGTAATAGTTGTATAATAACTGGTTATTAAACTCATTATATTATCACCCTTCAGTATCTAAGTTAAGTGTGTGCGAATTAATTGTGTATTTTTGTGTTGTTACTTTAATGATTCATTTTATTATTATTGCTTCTCAGCTTATATACTGGCAATTATTTTGTATATTGTAGGAATTTTAGCTTAAAACATTTTGACATTTATCGTAATTAAAAAAAAAATAATAATGTAAAAATATTTACAATGACATTGTTTATAATAAAGGCAATGGACAATTTTTTTTCGCTATAATTAGTGAAAATATAAAGCCTTGTTTTCATATTTTACAAACTATGGGAGACACGAACGTGTGAAGGGATGATTTTGACATTGACTGTAGGTTTTTCAACAAAAATACTTACAAGTTTGGGTAAGCTTTTTACATTTTTTTTTAAATGAATGAAAAAATAATTTTATTCTGGGACTACAGTCTCCTAAGAATAATAACAGAGTTACAAATTTATGGGTCGTAGTCTGACTAATAATAAAAAATACAAACTAATTAACTGCTGATTGAAGTTAAACAATATACAGATGCAAGTAATTTTACATGTTTGCGGAAATTTTAAGGTGGAGTAGGTGGTGGAACAGGAGTTGTTTGAAGGAATTCGTGGACGAGGATTGAGGTATGATGGTAGGAACAATGTTCCAAAAGGAGGTAGCACGAATGACGAAGAATTTGCTGAAGGAAGTAGTTTTATGGGAGGGGATATATAAGTCTATAGGTTGAGACCTTGTATTAAGAGAGTGGATAGAGGGACGTAGAGTAAGGAGTTCCAGGATTTAGGGAGGCTTTTTGGTTCTGAGGATTTGGAAAAGGAAATTACTAAGGAGGAATTGTCGTGGGGAAGTAGGATTCGGTGTACCAGAATGAAAGATGTGAACGTCTAGGGGTCCCGAAGATGTATCTTATGAAACAGTTCATGAGTTTTTTCAGTCTCATTTCTAGTCTGGTAGATAGCCTTCCCCATACACCAAATAGCATTAGTTGAAGTGGTAGAATATAAGGGAGGTTACAAGGAGCTGTCTGGTTTTTAGAGGAACACAATCACAGAATCTTAGGAGTTCTTTAAGGACAACTGTTTTTTGGAAACTTTTTACTGTTTTTGATAAGTAGATATACGGGGCGGGGTGGATTTCGGAATTAAGCCCCCTTCCCTTCCAAAAATTAATTAATTATAATCACGTTTTATGAAAAATATTTAAAATAATAATCTGTAATTGTTTGTGTAATTTATATTTAATAGGACTTCAGGAATCACTTAAACACCATTTCATATAGGTAGTTTCTTTCTTTTTCTTCCAAAGTAATTATCGTTATTTATATATAAAAAAAAGCTTTGGGGCTTTCCCCTCCCCTCCCCTCACGATTAAATCCTTGATTTGCTAGAACTGTTTGTGTTGCTTAAGAGATGTTGAATTTAATAAAAATATTATTTTTATGGCTGTTGCGACTGAAACGATTCTTCTTCATCCACCATATTTTGTTATGGATTTTACTCATTATTTCATTCTCTTTTGTATCAACTTGTTTCATTTTAAAATTACTATACGTTATAGCTTAAATGCAATTTTTAACGTCCGTCATGTTTGTTTTTCTGAAAATACTGAAATGTGTAAACTTCCTGTTTGTTGTTTGCGTCTATTTGTGTTTTTGGTGTTGGAATTGTGAAATTCTGATTTAGTATCTGTAATATAAAACAATGAGCGCGCAAATATAGTCCAGTAAAATTAAGGATCGACCCTCATAGTTATGGAAAAATTCTCAAAAACACTAAATAAATATCTTGTGTTCATTTTCCCTAAAATTGGTGTCCTGAGGTTTTATTTTTTACATAAATTAGGCCATTATTCACCAATATTTTATTTATAAGCTCCTGAAATGACGTAGGCGACACCCCTAAATAGCAGGACAATTTAATGTTCACTGAACAAATTAATGCGACATTAATAATGAATATATAACGGAGGACTCATTAAGACTTGAAAATGACCCCTAATATGGCCGAAACGTCGTAATCAATAGCTTATAAATAAAATTTGGTGAATAATGGCCTGATTTATGTACAATATAAAAAAATATCAGTTTTCTATCCTCTCCCTCCCCCATCAAACCCAACGCGGGATTCTTTAGGACTTTTTACTAGTTATTATGGGGAATAATTTCTTACAAGTTTCATCTTTATTTTTTGAATATTGGAGTAAGGCTGTTTTCCCTCTAACTTTATTAGTGTCAATATATTCTCCTTGTAATTTATATCGGATGCATGAGAAATAATTTTTGAAGTATAGCATTGTCAAGGAAAAATGTACGTTTAAGCAACAAACTGAATTCGCTAACTTTTGACAGAAAAGAAACCAAATTTATTCCTTGATGATTTAAATGCGGGTAAAATTTTTCGATGCTATGTGAAAAATCTTTTTAACTCATCAGTCACGAATATAAGGCTTCCTTACATTCGATAATAAATGGCGATACTTTTGATGATATAAATATTTGAAGGTGTCAGGTCTAATTCTTGTGGAAATATATATTAATTTAAAACGGTGGCTTGAACACTTTCACACATAGGATAGATGAGATCTAGTCTAGACAGACCATCTGAGAGGCCGTAAACAGATTATGATCGGGCCTAACAGCAGTGTGGGGAAGCTGCTCGGATTCCCCTGGAGGATTCCCCTATCCAGGTATTTTTAGATATCCAGGCGCCGGCCCAACAGCCTCCACAAAAAAGCCACTAGTGTTTACATCCATATTGGTTCTTCTACCTGCTATCTTACTGTAATATATACTGTCATAACGGAATATAATACTAAAAAAAATAAAACAGTTAGTCAGGAATATAAAAAAAAAACACCTAAGGTGTGAGCTTTAGTTTAGGCGATACGATAGAAGTGAAAACATCAACTAGACGAGCTTAATGTTATGAATTATAAATTACAAATTATTTGACTATGGTTTATTATTTCCAAACAATTATACAGCTAAAGTAACATAGCTAGTTAGAAAGAAAAAAAGTCTGCCAAGTAAGGTCAGTATAGCTTCCTCACCGTTTCCGTTGTATATTACAAGGTATACAATTTTTCGTATGAGAATAAAATCTCTGAGAGAAGGAGAATTGGAATAGCCGATTACAGTTACCCTTCAACATTCAACAAAAGAGTGTCGTATTTGAAGATTCCATACTTGATTATGCTTATAAAAAAAAAAAAAAAATGCATACTGAACATGAATTTCAATACTGTTAGTGCAAAAGGTCTTGCGTACAAATTTATTTATTGTTTTACAAGAGTGCATAAAAATTCATAATTTCTTTATGCTAGATTAGTATGATTTCATATTTTATTGTCATCTGCTATTTTCCATAGTAGCAGACTACTTGTATCAGATGCAGACTACAAAATGTCACCATTAACACATAGAATTAAAGCTGAAAATTTTTACATTCCAACTTTTACTCTGATAATAGTGATATACACTACCGGATACAGATTAAATTTTGGGGCAGGGGGAAAGATTATATATATATATATTGTGGCAATATTGCGGTCGCGAAAAATTGTATATATAACCTAAGATATGAATTATAGTCGGATAATAGGGCATGGAATAAATAAATATTTCATGACCTATTATCCGACTATAATTCATATCTTAAGTTATAATATATAAAGGTCGAATTATAAAAAAAACATAATTTATACATATATATATATATATATATATATATATATATATATATATATATATATATATATATAAAATATTCTAAATACTAAGCAAAACAATTTCTATATTTCGAGACCTTTTGGATCTTTTGTTACCTTAACAAATAACAGCCTGCTTTTGACGGTTATCTTTCAATTTGCTGCATGCAACTCTGTGGGTTCTTTGTTCGTTTTTTCTATCCACCTGCTTTTAGGTCGTTTTTTTACAACTAGTAGCGGATAGAGTTTTTTTTATTTAAATTATTGTTTCTATTTTTTTTTCTGAAAGAAAATTCATGAAATTATAAAAATTGATTGAGTGGTCATTGGAAAATATACAGGGTGTCCCGTACGTAGAGGGAAATATTTAAAATGTAGATGGATAGTAGACATCAACTTCTACAAAAAGTTCATATAAACAATCGTCCAGCTTCGATCACGAAATTGGGAAGTTTGTGTTGTTTTTTTTTTAACGATATACATATATATATATATATATAGTGGTAATATTGCGGTCGTGAAAAATTCGAATCTGAGTTTTCAATGGAAATAAAAGTTTCAAGATCTCAAAAATCAAATCCACAAAATGTACATGAAATTGGGAAATTCTATCCCCACCCTAAGGGAATGTACATTAATATCTACTTAAATATCTTGCCTGATTGATAGGAAAATTGACATCTAGGAATATTTGAACTTGCTACTGATACATGGGACGAAATATATTTTCCTGGAGCCCTTAATATAAGAAAAGCACCCGAATATCACACTACATTTAAATATTCGTAGATGTCAATTTTTCTAACTATTTACTAAAGTGTTTTAGTAGATATGCAAGTCCATTTTCTTAGGTTAGATAAAATTCCCAATTTCTATAGTTGGATTTTTTAAAATCAAATATATATTTATTTTATGTTTAAACTTTCCATACACAGAAGAACAATTTATAACGGTATTTAGGTTAAATATAAAGCAGGAAGATTTTTTTTTTGTTTAATAGAGTAGGAAGTCATCAGATAATTCATCACCTTCCGAAAGTTTCAGACACCATTGGTCCGTAAAATACTTTGTATCGTCGTGGTTTGGTTGGCGATTTCCCGCCAATTTATTTCGGAACCGCTCAGCTGTATAATTCCATCGACGGATGCCATTGGTTCGGGCAATATCCCCGCGAACAGGCGAACGATTGTATTGGCTTCGATGAATAAGGAGAGAAAGTGTTTCGGTGAAGTGGTTTCGCGACATCCAATACTGTGAAACCTTCACTGTGGTACAGATGTGTTCATTTTGCCTTTATATTTAAATATGATAAGAGAATTTATAAAAATATCAGGAAATATTTAACAGTATAAGTACAAATATTCTTAGAGCATGTTAAAAAAATCTGGTGCGCGCATCACACAACTTTCTCTTACCGCTCTACTTCGTAAAGCAATTATTTTCTGGCAAAACTGGTCTATTAAAAAAAATTTTCGAAGCGCATTTTTAATGCAGCTAAACTTTAAACAATATATATTTGAATTTCGGTCATATTCAGTGTTGCCCAAATGAGAGACCCAGACGAGTCTTGGTCTTGCAAACTCAGTTTCGTCATGGTCTTGGTCTTGCACAAGAGTACAGTCTTACAGTACTGTATTTTGTAGATAGGAGAAACCTAACTAAGCCTGAATGAGAAATTAAATGCAAAACTATATTGGTTATACCAATTATTTACATATAGTAACTAAGATTGTCGAGTATTAGTAACTATTTTGCCTTAATTTTTTATTAAAAACATCGATTTTTTTTACCAGTCCTGGTCTTGGTCTTGCAACAGATTGCAAAGTGCAAGACCAAGACCGATTTTGGGCAACACTAGTCATATCTATCAATACAAAAACTCAAGACCGTCGCAATAACATAAACCTCATTTATCTACATAACATAACCCCCCGGTCCTTTCTCGTAAAAATCAAAATAATCTTTAACTTCCAAATTGACCCATCTTCCTTGTTCGTATAATTACAGTTAATAGTACTTGAAGAAACACTTAAACTCTATTTCATATGGGTAGTTTATTTCTTTTTCTTCTTAAGTCAATATCGTTATATATTTTTTAAAAATAATCTTTTGGGCCGAAGCGTCTACAGAACTAAATCCTGGATCCGCTAGTGGCCACGACTGACATACCCATCACAAGGCGACTGAAAAGGAACTGGTTGAGAGACCTCCTTTTCTGAATGAAGGAAGTAAACAAAGACTAGGAAAATGTGCTGCTATGTACTATCCTTCCTTATGACGAAGAAGGCATTGCTGAATTTGCCAACAGCATATCTGCATATTGCCATATTGACGAGTACAGATGAAGATTTAAAGGGAGACAAAAAAAATAAATTGTAGATTATATTGCTGTTGTCTAATCCACTAAATGGTTTCAAAATAAATTTTATTAGGTTATAATCAGGTATTTAGGTTATATTTCCTAGGTACGTTCCTCTACCATATCATCAACAACCATCGTTCTTACGCCTACAACCTTCTCCAGTTCAAATCCTCAGTCCATTCCCTGTCCACAAGATCTCGACCTTCTAACCTTTACATGCCTTCTCACAGATCTACCTCATTCCAAAATTCCTTTATTGTTCGCTCTGTCAATTTCTGGAATTCCCTCCCTATCAAAATTCGACATTCCCCATCCATATCCACATTCAAACCCCTCCTATTCCAATTCCTATCCCAAAAACAGTCAGATAGTTGCTAACCATTCGAGCTGATTTCAATAGAGAATTTGATACATTTTTATTTTTTAATTCTTTATTATTTTCTTAAAAGTGTATACTAGTCTATCAGTGCAAATAGCTTTAAGTGTCTTGTCATAGTATTAATTGTTTTGTATATAGTTTCGTTTGTTTTGTTTATAGAATTTTTACCTTATTTTTTTTACATTATTTCTTTTTTTCGATTGATTTTATTATGGCCAGATGTAATATTTTAATTTTGTTCTATTTTGTTATTCTCAAGGGACTGTGTCCCAGAATAAAGTGATTTTTCTTTTCTATTCTATTTATTTACGCACATAGAATGATATCTATATAATAGAAAATATAAGATATGCAAATATATATTTTTACTAAATACTCGGAACAATCTATTTCATGAAAACATTCTGAAGATGATGCAAGAAAAATACCTATTTTTTAAAGGAAAAAAAAGTCTTTATCAGTTTGTTTTCTTCATAAAAAAGAAAATAATCCTGTATCGTTCCTGGGAGAGATAAGATTCCTGAATTAGATTCTAACGTTAGATAAAAAGGTTAACCAGAGTTCATTGTGAGTTTGCCTACTGGATTTTTTTCATTTCATATCGATTATAAAATCCTTTTTATAACAGTGTTATCGTTCGCAATACGTCCTTTCGCTAAATATATCTAGTCTTATATATTTTATCTTATAGACTCTAAACTTCCAAACGAATAACAGCAGTTGTTTTTTTTAGTTCACTCGTTTGCCACTAGTCGAGTTGCTGTTTGATCGTTTCGTTTTTTCCAAACGAAATTGAAACTCTTTGTTTTCCAACTAACCTATCAGTTCGTTATGAAAAAAAAAAACCCTACAGGTTTTTTATAAGACGTGTTTTAATTGTTATGTTTAGGGATTCCATTATTAATGAAAGATAGGAATTAATAAAAACTTTCATTATAGTTACTGCATTACTAAATTAACTTAAGCATTTTTGTAGGCAAAATTGGTTTATGTTTTTAGATGTATCTATCTATATTAGTGTCTTGCAGACCGAAAATAATTTTTATGATTAAACTTATTCTCATAAATCAATTTAAGTGCATAAATAAAATTAAATAATATTACTTAAGGGAAGAATGGTTGGGATGATCAGTAAAAAAAAAACACCGTTCTCTTCAATTTTTCACTGCAGTCAACCATTAATCCACAATTATAAACACTATTATGTTCTACAAAAATTGAAAAAGGCAAACAGTTGAAAACTTTTTTGAACTACAATTAAAACACTTATAATGACCGAGAAGCGTAATTTCAAACTAAGAACAACACTTGATAAAGAAATATGGCAAAACTTTTATAACAAATTTGTTTGAAAAAGAAAAAATCCTAAGCTCAGCGTTGAGCTCATCGATAGCACCGGATCCATCTTTACGTTGGGCGAAAGGATGTCATCAATAAGCTCATCGTTTAGAGTTTAGGAACTTGTCCAAAATCACAACCACCAGATTAATACTAGAAAGTTAAAATATTATTAAAATAAAAAGTGTTATATGCGTAAAAAATAATTTTTACTTTTAATTAGTTAAAAAGTGATTTTTAAGATTAAGCTTTTGGCTAATATTAAAAAATAATTAAAAGGTTATCAATTTCAAGCTGGAACAATGCCAAACTTTATACATATAACGTTTCATTCATTTCCAGACGAATTGAATCCGTTTTGAAACGAATAAGACTGTTACTAAATGAATAGGTCTTACACCATGAATCGTTGCGTTGTTCTATGAACTGTTTTTTTTTTTTAACGGTTCTTAAGAACTGTTGTTTTGTGTAACGAATAGTTCATTCCGTTTTTCAAAAGTAGCAGAAACGCCCACCTCCATAGTGAGCTGGTTCGCGCTCGTATTCCTTTGGTTGCTCCATTATAAAATATTATCCGTTAATATCTCTTATTTCATCTTTATAGTTAATTATCAAATTCTTTCATATTTTATATTTAACAGTTTTTTATATCAAAGATGATATAAAATGGTTAACTATTTCAAATAAAGGTACTTTAATAGAAGTTAAATCCGTGCTGGGCCATGCGGATGATCTGGTACTGTTAAGCGAAGACCTTGAAACTATAAAACTAAATACGACAACGTTAATGAAAGCCGGTAAAGTACTAGGACTCGCAATAAACGTGGATAAAACAAAATAAATGGTTAGCTGCAAAAATGGCGATACTACTGGTGATATCGATATAGATGGTAATATGTTTGAACAGGTAGATAATTTTAGGTATCTAGGTTCTACGATAACTAGAAAAAACGAAATTGAAGAAGAAATTAAGGTTAGACTGAAGGCGGGAAATGCTTGTTATTTTTCTGTGACAAAACTACTTAGTTCGCGCCTCTTGTCCCGAAACATAAAAATTAGAATCTATAAAACAATTATCTTGCCTACAGTTCTTTATGGGTGCGAAACTTGGCCGCTTACATTAAGGGATGAGCAGCGTCTTAAGGTTTTTGAAAATAAAGTATTGCGTAGAATATTCGGACCGAAGAAGGATGAGTCAACCGGAGAGTTCAGACGGTTACACAACGCCGAATTGCGTGAACTGTATTCGAGTAATATAATTGAGATAATTTCATCGCGGCGAATCAAATGGTCTTGTAAAGTTGTTGGACTTAGTAACGAGTGAATTCCTAAAAGGCTAATATTTGCTGTACCGAATGGTAAGTGTCCGAGGGGTAGACCGAAGCGAAGGTGGGAAGATTGCATTAAAGCCGATCTGAAGGGACTGGGTTTGGACGGCGAACGGTGGAGGGAGGTGTGTAATAAGCGATTGGTGGTTTCGGCATCGAACCTTCGGGTTCGCTAAGCCTTTTTATTATTATTATTAATAGGAGTTAATATTGAAAATTAACCATTTAAATCCTTTTAGAGAACATCAGTGAGAATATAACCTACATTATATTAAAAACTGCTTAATAAATACACTGATATATTATATTTATTTAAAATCTGTTGAGCCGTTTTTGAGAAAATCGTAAAAAATTATTAAATAGATGATATGAAGTACCATTCTGGTTGGCCGATTTCGACGAAAATCTTGCTGTAACATCCTAGGCTTATAAATACACACACGCACTGGCAGACACAGAAACCATTTTGGGAGACTGGGTTACTTGTACTCAGAAGACCTCAAAACGTGTATTTCCGTTGAAAATCCAGATAGAAAATTTTTACGATCGCAATACTTACCCTTACTATATATTACGTAAGTTAAAGTAAAATAAATTGAATTATCTCTCTCTTCAAGTGGTGCTAACCTTGGCCGAGGACAAAGTAGAAGGTAAGGCCAGGCCAGTTAACCCCCATGTCCTAATTAACTCTGTTTACCTTTAATATTTAGAGCTATACTTATATTCTTCTAAAGTTTCCTTATAATTACATGTTATATAAATACCATTCGTGTTTCTGGTATTTATAAAATGAATCAGTTGTTGAGAATTTAATTTAGTTTAATTGGTCAGTACTGTG